TTGTTCATTTATAAAAGAAAAAAAGTGAGGCCTGATGATGACAAAACCTTGTCGAAACGTTGTACATTTGCTGTCATGTTAAACTTATATTAAAGTTTTTCTTCATTACCCATTTAAGCCGTCTCCAGCCATTATTAGTATAATTCCATTATTCGTTATGACGAGAGTATCCCAAAAAGTTGGCTTTAGGTGATCTAGTCAATCACTTCATAATTAGAGATGGCTAGTGCAGAACAAGTAACATGTATAAAACATACAAATGTGTAAATATTTCATTATTGTACAGCCTAGGTGCTTAGATAAGTTTTTTTTATATATTTTTAACAAGTGTATCTAAGACAAAGATTATCAAATAGTCCCGAAAGTATTTAATATTTTCAACTTGACAGGTACCTTATGCCACACATGGGCTAAACAGTCAGGCCAGAGACCTCAAGGCGCAGGCGTAGCCGTCCCTAATATAGAACTGCTGGCCATACGAATGACAACTAGTCAGAAACACCCGTCGCTTATAAGGCTACTTTTAAGCGAATAGCGGATCTAAATGTATAAAGTGTGTCAAACGGCATATCTCAAGCTCGAACCTTGGAGCTTCAGATGGACAGCCTGGTTCGCTAACCACTGAGCCACATCCAGCCCACAAAATCTTATTATTTATAACACTTGAGTTGGCGAAGTGGGTATTAGTTTTGGTATTTTATAGTGAACAAAGTGATCTATAAAAAGTTTTGTATATATTACTGCTCATATATGTTACACAATGTTTTAATCTATAGGGTAGTCCTTCATTATTAACCTAAGACTTGCGTTTCCTCGTAAATAGGAATCCGATACTATGGTTAGACAGGACTTATGGTTCTTGAAAACGACATAGTTATTTGAAATTAAGTTCAAAGAAACTTTGTATTTAAAATTCGATGACGAGGAACCCACTTTGAGACTAATAATGGCTGGAGATGGCTTGAATGGGTAGTGAAGAAAAACTTTAATATAAGTTTAACATAACAGCAAATGTACAACGTTTCGACAAGTTTTGTCATCATCAGGTATTATATTAATATAATTATATTAAAGTTTTTCTTCATTACCCATTCAAGCCGTCTCCAGCCATTATTTTTATTTTAAAGTTTATTTTCAATATCAAATCAAATTTATATTGAGATATCATGATTAACATTGCATGCGCAGTTTCCTGTGTTCCAGGACATAAACCAAATACTTAGCGTCTGCATTCACTAAGTGTCCTGTTATTCAGCACATAAAACATTAAAACAGTATACCATTCTCTTTCATCGTGTAAAAATAATTCCTCGTGAAACCCTGGTGCATATAGGATGAAATGCCGACTGGAATGGTTGAATACTCTGATATGTGGGACACACATTGAAGTAATAATTATCAGTCTTTTTTTTTCTTTACTTACCGTTTATTACAATTAACAATTTTAAATACACATGTCTACTTACTTAAGTAAGTATAGAGATAACTTTTTTGTATATTAAGCTTATTACTTGAAAAACTAATATGTATTGTTAAATATGATTATTTCTCTGTTTCGTTATCTACTGATATACTAATAATTGCACCTGATAAACTATTTGCCGTCGACATTACAGGGGGTGGTAGCCCTAAAATGTTGGATTGTTAAGTTGTTTCTAAAGTAAACCGCACAACTCTTGAGTCATTGTAGCTTCAACTGGGGTAAACACTTCTGAAAAATCATGCAGGCTAGATGACATCAACATCAAACTCCAAAGCACTAATATTCACAGGTACACTCAGGCGATAGAGTAAAGGCATGCAAATATATATCTCTTCTCTCTCTATGCCAACAACTACATCTACTTAACAATTTCGTCATAGTTAATCAACATCGCAGACCTCACAGACTATTTTCATATTCTTCAAACCACAATTCAAAATCTAATTATCCAGACTTTATGGTAAATATAATTAATATGTTATTTTTTAAGCTTCTTGTTGTTTTTCTATTGAAATTAACTTCAATTTAAGTTTCACCGAGTTCATAAACCTTCTCTAATTATACCTAAAATGCTACATGAAGTTGTTAGTTGTTATTAAATTAAGCTTTCAAAAATTAAGATATTATTATAAAGACCCGAACTTCAAATGAGTACTGTTAAAGATAAAGAAACATACTATATAGAAAGAACCATATTCTATGAAAATATAACAATAATTGTATTTACCAGGAGATATAATTAAGAAAACTTTCCATAGAGAAGTCAAATGTGAATTTGATTCACCCGTAATTTCCTACATTATAAAATATAAGTACTTACAGAATAATAGTTTGTTTTATATATATACTATTCTTGGTATTTTGTTGTAGCGATATAAACGTGTAAGATAAAACAAGCTAAGGGCAAATATATTGGTTTTTCTATTTTAGGTCAATAAACAGGAATATTTGATTAGTTTGCAAAGGATTTAAGATTAATGAAATTCAAATTACATTTATATTAAAAGTGGGACAGTAGCTGAATTATTTTTTAAAGTATAGACATGTGAGACGATTAAATCTAAATTACTATTACTGGTATTGCACCGGAAAGATTGAGTTTTATTCAACTGTTTGACCTGGTATACGAACCTTAAATGTACTTTATTAATTAAAGCTATTTCAATTTAATCATTGCATTCATATCATAATATTATTTCTTTAAAATAAAACCTTCTGGTGTGCTTGAATTGAACTTACCTTTAGAACTCCGTTTTGCTATGTTGACTGTTTTAGAGACACTATCTTCGCTAACGTTAGTGTTAATCCTCGTTCCAACAATTTCAGATGACGCATGGTATATAGGAGATGGACAGTGGCTACAAGTGGAGATTATGGGCTTATGGCGCCGGATAGTAGAGAGACGACTTACAATAGATGTGTTCTGTTTGAACCTTTAAAAGTAACAGGCTAAGTGTAATTTATATACTAAGTGAAAACATATCTGGCATTTCATTCTGTTGACTCAGATTTGAGCAGCGCAATGTTTATGACCTTGCTGCAACACTTTATACGGTTCGTCTTACCAGTTTGTGAGTATCTATCTGAGAGTATTAGCTTCTTTCAGATATCATACCTAATAGATTTATAGTTTATATATGTAACCATACTATCCGACTGCAAACAAAAGGCATAAAAATATTCTACGTGACTGTTACCTAGTGGTTCCTCTCAGCTACTGCCAAACGTTTTTAGTAACACTTGAAAAACGTTTAGATTGACGCATTAAGAACATTGATCTCCATTCTTCGAAAGACGGGCGTTTTCAATTTTCTAAACTAATAGCACTTCGTTCTGTATGGTAAGCTGATTATTTTATACTTTTTTTTTGTCTGAAACATAGATTGGTTTTCAGTTTAAACAAAAGAAATGTTAGACCTAAACATCTGGGTATCAAAATTATCACAATGAAATATATTCTACTTTATTTTAAGCTCAACATAATACACACACTTTTAGTAAAAGGTAATAATCAGAAAATGAGGTTCAAACGAATCCAGTCATATTTCTAAATACCCATACATGGCTAGATGTAGGTTTTTCTGAAGAAGAACAAAAATGTCAAGATGAGGAATAACACATGCACAGATACATAAAGTGCTCACAATAAATTATAGAATAAGCTTATAGTCATTTTCTATAAAAACATAAATTTGTCGTGCAAAAAATAATTATTTGATTACAATTTATTATTTTTTACATAAAACAATTCTAATGTGTTGATAGAAATATTGGTAAAACTATAATCGAACCAATGTTTTTAATATAATTATTTTGTTGTTAGAATTGAAAATTTCTTGGTTGGACGTAATAGTGAACAATATTTAACAGTTTCTTCCATAATTAAATATGCTATCAAGCTTAAGTATAAATAGATGTAGGTGTTAAATGATTTCAAGCAGTTTCTTCTATAATTAAGAATGTTAACAGATTTATGAGACAAGTGTTGAACAACCCAAAGATGGTTTTTAATGTAGTTAACAGATATGTGACTCATGAATGAAGTTTCAATAAGAACTTTTACAAATGTTTCAAATGTGATAGAATCAAACTTAATATATAATGTGAAAGGATGTGCATTAATACTACAGTAACCTCTTGTTTTGTTAGTTTTTCTTAATGAAAATATATTAAATATCTTTCATTTTTATATATTTTAAACCAAATAGTTTGGCTTCTTAAGCTATCCCATAGTGTTCAACCAAACGTACATTTAAACATTTTAAAATGTCAGTTTTATTTTAACATAAACGCAATAGCTTCCAGGAAACAATTGTGAGCCTTTTAAAAAACTATAAATTTTGGTCCTTATTATATATCCTTAGAATGATGTGGTTAGTCATTGTCGTTTGCAATTAGAAGAGAAGTTTAAGAACCTTTAATCAATTTAAAGTGTGTAATGATTTTTTACTTGAATTCTAATATAGTAGCATGCTTTTAATCTAAATTTGATTACGTATCCAACATTTTTATAATGTGAATTCAATTAAGGTTTTTTATTTACTAATGTTTAGTAATTTTCGTTCTAAATAGTTATTTCCTAAAAGTTTAGTTAAAATGCAAGCTTATCACTTTACCATTTTAACCCTTGGAACAATTTTTATGATTGATATTAAACCAACCAGCGCATAGTATAGAATTAAATCATTATCACCAATGTGCTTTAAATGCTTGATAACTTCTTTTTGTGTATTGTGAAACATATTAGCTTATATTGCAGAACAAAATCCTAATGATAACCAGCTAAGTTCCACCTATATCTCTCTAGATATCTAGAGCGAGTTGTTTTAGTGCCATTGGATGGCATTCTCCATTGAAAAAAGTACTAGTGTGCATATAAATAACAACCTATAATACTCTGCTTAATTTATTTGTTCCCAAATACATAAACAGAATAAATATAAAATATAAATATAAATCTTACTTTGATGTTTTCGTCAATTATTGTGATAGTGTTATATTTAACTCTCAATCCCCCAGCATTTATCTCAACTTTAATTAGATAAGAATTACTTACAGACTTCTACCAACAGGGGTCAAGTTCAGCCTATCTTTGCGCTTTATACTTGTGAAGGAACCAGATGTGAAACTAGAAAATAGTGCAGAGACAATTTACCATAAAAAGAAAAAGAAATAGATAGACGTGACACTAAAGTGAATAAAATTTCTTTATTGTCGAAAGATACTCGTGGTTTCTCTGAGTTAGATTTTAAAATTTGAGCTCATATAACCATGTCTAATTTGTTATCTGATTGTAAATAGATACTACAGTGTAAACACACTTTCATGTGAATGTGTTTTATATCTCCCACAAAAACACCCATAAATTAATAATTCCCACTTTAAACTTTATGAATATAAATGAAGGTTTATTTTGAGATAATTTAATTTAATATCTTAATCCATTCGTGTTATTAATAATTGAAGAAAAGATATTTGATTGTTGATCGGGAGTAAAAGGAAAAACCATTTCATTTTTCCAAAAAAGTGAAGTCAGAGTTTTCAGGTATTGTGATGAATTAGTTCATTATGTTGTGGTCTTTCCTCTTAAACGTTCCACAAGTAAGTAACAGTAACTTTTTATTTTTTCTTCGAAATACCTACCATAACCACATTATTGAGAAATTCTTCAAGATATTGTTTTTGTCATCTTACGCATTTTAATGAAGATGAGAACATTGACAGGTTTCGCAAAGAGCGTGAACGGTAGTGTGACGTAAAATTACTCATGCTAGAAATTTTCATAAAAGTGACCCGAAAAACGGCGCTAACTCGGTAACCCGTGGCCCGATTTTAACGACACATGTTTTATTCTGTTTCTATTCTCATTTCATTACAAATATGGCGCTGTTGTGCACCATTTTTGCTGTACTTAATTACAGACAAGCACACAAACAAACAAACAACCTCAGAGTTTTAGTAGTATATAGATTTGTTCTATTTTAGTGTTTTAGAGCTCAAGTTTCAAGTCTATATAGTATAATGGAACTGACTATAACATATTTTCTTTTCTTCAATTTCTATTAATACCATTAAATTCATTTTCAGTTTTTAGTTTACTTCAGAAAAGTTATCAGAAACTTTATGGCGTGTAATATTCAACAACAACAAGGCAGAAAGCACAGCAATGACGATTTATGCAGAGATAAAACATAAATAAACAACAAAGCTTAAGCTATATTTCTGTCAATTGTTTAACATATAAGAATTATTAACAAGAGCAAGTACGTTAATTACCACCTGGAAGAAACAGATTTGTTATTATTCAAATATAATTTTTTTGTCAATAATTATAAATTTACACGTACTGTAGAAAAATGTGATTCCGTGTTAATTTTATTTTTGAGAAAGTTTTACTATATAATGTCTTCGGTCAGATATTTTTCCAATATTTGCTATGTTCTAATATATTCATGTTTTAAAAACATAGTATACGTTTTATTAACAGGTTTTAATATAGATCATTCAATAGCTGTTTCAGTAAAAAACATTATGTATTCAGATCATAGAATGTCTAGCTCCTGAGGCACTTAAATTGGCAAGTAAATGTTTCAGGTTAAATATCAGATTATAGAGAGCTAGAAAATTGCAGGGCCACGTTTGATCTTAGTGATAAAAAATGAAAAGAAACACAAGCGAAAAAAAAAGCATCCAACAAACGATTCGACTGTGTGGTTGAAGATAAAAATAAAACCTTGGATTACGTTCTGAGTTATGGGAAATTAAATATCTCTCTTTACGAAAACAAGAAATGTTTCATATGTTTTCGTAGTTTCTATCACGTAATTAATAGATGTAGTTTCCCAAGTGAGTTGAAATCCTTAGCAAATCTTAAGATTAGGTTTAAAGTATCTCTAATTAAAAGTAATACTGTCTTTATTTGTTTTCTGTTCTTCTGCATAAATGTACACAATTAATTATCTGTGATGTGCCCACCGCGAGTATCGAAACCTAATTCTTAATGGTGTTAGCCATCAGACCTGCTGTTGAGCCACTGGGGGGTCAAACTTAATACTGATGTTGTATATGTATTTATAATATATAGTGCTGAATATCGCAAGCTATTTTGTCAACATGTTTGTTGTTTTCTATAAGGTGTTTATTTTATTTTTCACTTAGTAATATGGATGAAAATGAATAATGTATAAATATATAGGTTACACAAGTGTGTCCTATACATACATATCTTAATTTAGCACCTAATAAAAGATTTCGATATTTTCGATTTAAGTTTTAATATTTGAAGAACAGAAATTAGTCTAGGAAGAAGCAAAGAGAAAATAACCCTCATTAAATGAAACAGAAAACAAGTCTTTTCCCATTCAATACAATAAAAACATTGCCATTAAAGGTATTTGTCATGACACCTTCTTGCACTCACGGGAGCATGCTTGGTAGCGGTACCAGGTGGATTTTCCAAGTAGCTATGGACATAGAATGTTCGTCTGCTGCGTAGCACCGCCAGAGGCACTGGATGAGAGTGACTGCAGGTATCCTTTTTCTTATCATGTGCTTTTGTCGTTGTTGTTGTTGCACTTTCAAAGCGAAACCTGAGCCAAGAATCCCCTAAAATATTAGTAATGGATAATAATTCGTTTCATCACATAACGCTCTCACCATTGTAATGATGACAACCTAATACACACGTGCATAAAATAATTAATGTAGTAAAATGTATAATACATAGTATTTTGTGTAGTATAATGGAACAGTTACACACACAAAAAATATATCACTTCGTTTTGTTTTGTTATAGTTTAAGGTTATTACAATTTGAGTAGATAATCTGCTAAAATTATTCTCTTTTCATTATAAGATACATTTTTCTGTCATGTAACAAAAAATAAAACACAAAGGAAGCTAAATCAGTAGTTATCGAGATTGTTCAGACACACGCGCTAATTGGCTGCCTCGGGGGTGAAGAGATAGAGAGAATTCGATGACGAGGAACCCACTTTGAGACTAATAATGGTTGGAGACGGCTTGAATGGGTAATGAAGAAAAACTTTAATATAAGTTTAACATAACAGCAAATGTACAACGTTTCGACAAGGTTTTGTCATCATTTACATTCAAGCCGTCTCCAACCATTATTAGGTAGAGACAATGTCGTCACAGTTCCACGAAATGCAACTAGAGAGCTCATTGCTAGGTCGCCATAATAGGCGGAATTTGTTATGCCGCCATGACACTTGATAACGGAAGTTGTCCTGAGGGCACTTTGCTAGGGACATATTACTAGGCAACCATAGCAGGTAGAGGTTATCTGATATCAGAGAGCATGTTGCTAGGCTTGACATAATAGTTCCAGTGCTACACAAAAAAGATCGTCTTGTTAGGGCCAACAATTGACACCAGAGGGCGTGTCATCAACTTTAGAGTAATAATAAAAGTCTTAAAATCAATAATTTAATCTAATCTGCATAACGTTGTGTTTACAGTTATCAGCATTGAAAAGTTTTTAACACAATTACGGTTTTTGCTTTATAATTAAAACATTAAATCTGCTATTTTAACCTTATCAACTTTATAGCTTTTGCTTACATACGTCTTTAAACAGCGGACAGCATATATAGGTGGAAATGATGCTACTAGGCAGATGGTGCTACTAAGGTTCTATAGAAGGATGGTCTTACTAGGTGTATTGTGCGTATGTTTTACAAAAGCAGATGATGTTACTATAGGTGGATAATGTTTCTGTAGTATGTGTTTTGTTATGGAGATACATTTTATCTATGCAGTCGTTTGATGTTCCGCAATTATTACTACCATGATATTACACTAATAAGTTTAAACATTATAGTGTACATAAAGTGAAGTCTTGAAAGATATGGAAACAGAATTTCTGGTTTGTCTGTCAGTTTAGTAAAAACGAAACCATTAGTTGTTTCTATTTGGACTGTCTTTCTGGTTTTAGCTTTGTTACCCCACTAAGCAGGAGAAGCGTGCTTTAACTTGGGCATCTTCAAAATTGAAATGTGCTGCGAATAAACCATGCAAGTAAAAAGGGCTCCAATTGGACACAATTTCGTGATGTTGTATCATTGTGTCTCCTTGAAAACCAAGCAAACATAATGGGGAATTTCGGCCAATTATTATTATTTTTATGCACCAACAATACTAAGTGTGGGGTGTGCGTATACCTTATTCAATTATATTAATCATCATGATCTCTATCAGCCTCAAATCTAATTTAACTATTGTATGTCCAAAATTATTGACGTGACAGATAAACAGACAAAATTTTGACCTCTCTATATTATTTCTTGGGCCCGTGGAAGTCATCATGCCAAGTTTGGTAAAGTCTGGGCAAATAGTGTGCGAGGAGTTAGCAGACAAAAATATAACAGATTTTAATAATGCTTGGAGATAGCTTGAATGGTTAATGAAGAAAAAATTCCTGTCAACGTCAAATTCTCACAAAAACCCAGCCCTAAATTAAAATCGTTACTAAACAGAAGTGATTTAGAATCACACAATACCAACGTCATTTACAAAATAACATGCAATAACTGCCCAGAATTCTACATCGGAGAAACAGGAAGAAAATTGAAAAACAGATTCACAGAACACAATAAAACTGTCCCATGTTTTTCACCATTGCAACTCAAAATACCATAGTATATCTATTAAAAACACAGTCATTCTGAACAAAGAACCCAACATAAACAAAAG